TTAAAAAAAAAAAAAAAAAAAATAAATAAAAAAAATCAACACTCAAATAAAATCGTACAAATTCATGTGAAATCGCCACCTTGTAAAATAATTAGGTTATCTCATGAGAATGGGTTGCAAGACACTTGGCAAGAAAGGGATGGAGATAATAACATCACATAAAACTACGAAGTTAGGAGTGTATTCACATTCAGAGGCAGATGTTTTTGCCAAATTGTCCACCTCAACCAAACACACATTCACACCAACACCTCCAGGACTGCGATGCAGGAGTAAGCAGCAGCTTCTAATTAAAGGGGTCATATGATGCGATTTCAATTTTTCCTTTCTCTTTGAGGTGTTACAAGCTCTTGGTGCATAAAGAAGATCTGTAAAGTTGCAAAGACTAAAGTCTCAGATCCAAAGAGATATTCTTTATAAAAGTTAAGAGTCAACCACGCCTACCTAAAACGGCTCGTTCTAACATGCCCCCACATGTCTATGTCACGATGTGGGAAGATTTGCATAACGCCGCCCAAATGTTGTTTCCTGATCCTGTGAGAGTAGACCACAATGCCGGCTGTTCTGACTCACAGACTGTAAGTACGTTTTTTATATATAAAGAATTTGCCACTGACGATTCAGTGTGACGCAGCTGACACAGCGTGACGCAGCTGACACAGAATAGCATACGCTGTTTACGTTCAGTGGATACTCTCCAAAATGGCACCAGGGGGAAGCGAATTGTTGAATAAGGTAGTTATTTTTGTTTTATTTGCATACAAAATGCATTCTCGTAGCTTCGTAAAAATTACGGTTGAACCCCTGATGTCACATGGATTATTTTACCGATCTCCTTGCTATATTTCTGGACCTTGATCGTGGTAATTACATTGCTGTCTATGGGAGGGTCAGAGAGCTCTCAGAATTCATCAAAAATATCTTAATTTGTGTTCCGAAGATGAATGGAGGTCTTATGGGTTTAGAACAACATGAGGGTGAGTAATTAATGACAGAATTTTCATTTTTGGGTGTACTATCCCTTTAAAGCTCGTCTTTTTCTCCTTTTCCATCTTTCCAATCTTATTCTGCTCACAATTGATTGGAGATGAGTGGATAGTGCTCCCGCTTTGTTGCAGTTTGCTGATTTTTGTGTTTTCTGGTTTCAGTTCAATAGGTTAAAGACTCATTTATTGGAAATAAATAACTGATAATAAATAATATTGATGATAATAAATAGTCAAATAATATTGGGCTTGTTTTTGAAGCTGTGGTTGATTATTTATCTCATAAGAGTTGGCAACAGTGCACATAGCCCTGAGAGAGCCCTGCTATAAGATTAAAATATTTTAAAGGGGTCATATAATGTTGCTAAAAAGAACATTATTTTGTGTATTTGGTGTAATGAAATGTGTTTATGCGGTTTAAGGTTCAAAAACACATTATTTTCCACATACTGTACATTATTGTTTCTCCTCTATGCCCCGCCTTTCTGAAATGCGTCGATTTTTACAAAGCTCATCGGTCTGAAAAGCGAGGTGTGCTCTGATTGGCCAGCTATCCAGTGTGTTGTGATTGGCCGAATACCTCAAGCATGTGACGGAAATGTTACGCCCTTTACCATACTGTGATGCCCTGTCCGGCCGGAGCGACAAGACAAAAACATTAAAACCCATTATAAACGAGGCATTTGTTGCATCCAGTGGGGACATAATTACGGATTATAATGACTTATACTGTCTTTTTACGCGTTACGTTGCATCGCGCTGCGTAAACATAAAACCATGTCTGCATTTGTGATCGGAGAAATGACAAAAAACAAGCGCTACTCTACACTGCTCAAAACTCGCGTTTGAATCGTCAGTGGCAAATTCTTTAAATATAAAAAACGTACTTACAGTCTGTGAGTCAGAACAGCCGTCATTGTAGTCTACTCTACCAGGATCAGGAAACAGTCCTCCATAAAATGCGCTGGACACATCTGAATATTTGGGTTGAACTGGAACAGTGTTGTAAATACTTAACCACTGATTTCTAGTCGTGTCCTCTTTTGGAAGGCCAAACAAAGTAGTTTCGCTTTCACAACCAAACACA